GGGGGTCGGGAAGCGTGGAGGCGGACATTGTGCGGGTACGGGGGTGGGGGGGGGGGGCGCGGCAGTGGGAGGGGGCAAAAGGAGAGAAGAGGAAGAGCAGGGGGCGGCGGCGGCGGCGGCGGCGGAGGGGAGGGGAGAAACGGGTAACAGCCGCGCCTGACCGCGCGGCCAGGCGCCCCTCCGGCCGAAGAAGGCCCCTCAAGCGCCGAGACAAGGTGAAGTGCCGGGAATGGACGATCACAAGAGGCCCGCGGCCCGGGGGCGCGCACTAGCGATTAACGACGTGGCTGGCGCGCCGCCTCCCGCATATGCCGGCCGGCGATCTCCCCCCGGCCCGCCCCCCGGCGAACATCCCTTCCCCCCCCCCCCATCGGGCCCGGCAGCACGCGCAGGCCGGGATGACGAAGCCGGCGCCCGGCCGTCCCAGCCCCGGCGGGGGTGGCCGAAACAAACACAAGTCCCACACGTGACTGGCGCCCAGAGTACCAACGATCTCGCGCGTGTCCCCCCCGCCCGCCGCGCGCGATGGCGCTCTCAACGGCGCCCCGGGCACCACCGACGAACTGGCCACCCGCGAGGGGGACGCCGAGGGGGATCTGCTAGATCGGCGCCCCACACACCTTGCCCTCGATCTCGGCCGGCAGCTGGCCGGGCAGCCCGGAGGCCGGGCGCTGAAGGGGAGGCGCCCGCACGGCCCGGCCGGGCACCGGCCCTCCCCGCATCCCGGACGAGAGAGAGAAAGACCGAAGGAGGGCAACAGCTTCCTCCCGTCCGCATCGTGCCCCCCTCCCCCCCCCCCTTCCCTTCCCCGACCACGCACACACACACACACACACACACACACACACACACACACACACACACACGCCCGCCCGCCCGCCCACCCCCGCCCACCATCTACCGCCACCGCCATCACCAGGCCAGCGAGCCAAGCGGACGTCCCAATGGTCGACATCCAGGCACGCCGGCCGGCCTCGGCCAGCCTGCCTGACCAGTTCCTGGAGCTCGTGCACCAGAGCCTGTGCGCGCCGGAGCCGGAGATCCGCGCACCGGGCGCGGGCCTCGACGCGTCGGCCGCCAGCGCGGCTGCCACCCGGGGCCTGGCGCAGTGGCACGCGCACGGTCTCGGCTTCAACACCGTGGCCTGGCGCGTGGCCGAGCTCCTGGACGAGTACCCCACCGGCATCACCCGGCCCTGTGTGCTGACCGAGATCCAGGCGCTGATCCTGGAGGCCACGCACTCGCGTCGACCGGCCGGGGCGGCGGCCTCCGCCTCGGGCCCGGCCTCGATGGCCGACGACCGGTGCCTGAATGCTGATTGGGCGCAGGCGCACTATGACCCGGTGACCCCGGTGCGCCTGGCGCCCCCGGCCGCGGGGCCCCTCTGCTCGCCGCGCGCCTTCGCCGAGGCCATCGACCAGCACATGGTCAAAGGTATGTGCCTGGCCGTCCTCTGCTTCGCTCGCGCACGCCCCACGCCCGTCGGGCTTGCACGCACCCGCATCCACCCATCTCCATGGGTATCGATGCACCCATGCAGGCACACACGCCCCCCCCCCCCAAAACACACGCACGCAGAAGGACATCTCCACACACACACACACATGCACATGCACATGCACATGCACATGCACATGCACATGCACCGGCTCACTCACTCGCGCATGTGCACTCGCCCGGGCCTTCCGGCCCTTCACACCGGGCCACGATAAGGCCTCTCCAGCACCTTCGCCGCCGCGGCCCTCGGGCTGAACCTCGTCGAGGGCTTCATCACGGACCTGATCCAAAACCCCTCCTCCACCGGCGGCCCCTTTGCCGCTGTGCTGTCCGACGGGCCGATCCCGAGCTCCGACCCGCCGGTCCTCCTGCGCATGGCCGATCCCCTCCGGGCCCTTCTCCGGCCCAGGCTCCCGAGTGGCCTGGAAAACCCCTTCTTCCAGCAGCTTCGGGCCTTTCTCACGGACCTGCCCCCGGCGGCAAGCCCCCCGGTGGACTCCGAGCTCCAAGACGCCCGGCCCCGCCTCACGGCCAATGTGTCACTCCGCATGCTGGGACCCATCCTGCAGAAGCGCCTCCCCGGCCGCTACAAATGGCCCACATTCACCCTGTTTCTCGGGCCCGGGCTGCTGCCCGGCATCCGCCGGCCGGCCCCCGGCCCCCCGGCCTCCGACGCCTGGTGGTCGGGCCCGGCGACCGACCACGCGGCCGCCGGACTGCTGGCCGCCGCGGCCGCCGCCCTGGGCCCCGGGCCCGATCCCACCTCGCGCACGGCCCTTCGGGCCGACCTCCCCCTCGGGCCCGGGCCCGGGCCCATCTCGCTCCTGGTGGAGGTGGAACATGTGTCCGAGGTGAAGCACATCCCCGCGGCCGGCGAGTGGCTGTCCATGCTGGGCGAGTCGCTGCGCACCCGACGCCGCGGAGCCCCGGACGCGGCCCCCACGCCGCCCGGCCCCCCGGCCCCGCACAGATTCAATGGAACCTGGGATCGGCCTGTGGAGGAAACCTGCGCCACGGTGTCGCTCATGCTCTGCTGGACCGGCAAGCCGGGGGGCCCTGCGGCGGGGCCCCTGGCCGGGGCCCGCGTGCGCCTCCTGCTACATCTGTGGAATGAGCACGCACACCTGTCGCAACTCCTGCGTCCGGTACGCGAGACACACATGCGCATGCCATGCGCCATGGCGGTAGCAGCAGCGCACCGGCCGGCGGCCCGCGCTGCCTGCCTGGGGCCCTGCTGCTTGCCGGTCCCTGCTCCTCCCCTCTGACCCTCCCCCCCCCCCCCCCCCCCCCCGCCCCCGCTCTCGCCGCCTCCCTCGCGGCACAGGGCGAGCTCCTGTATGTGCACAATCCGCTGGTCGTGGATGTGACGGCTTACCGGCGCCTCGGCACCTCCGACCCGGTCGCAGCCTACATCGCCCTGGAACACGGGTCCCAGTCGCAGCTGTTCTTGGCGCATCCTCCGGCGAACACCGGGCACCCTGGCCAGGCAGGCTGCCCGGAGACCGCCCTCACCCGAGCCCCGGCCCCGCCGGACACGCCCTTCGGCCGGGCACTTCACCAGCAGCTGCTGCATGCCCGGGCCGTCGGCCGACCCGCGCCGCTGGTCGACACGCTGCCGGCGGTCCGGCCGCCGGCCACATTGGATGCGCTGAATGCCCTCGGCCCCGGCGGACAGTATGTCAACTGCGCCGGGACCACCTTCATGCTGGGGCCCGGCGATTTGCGGGGCCTGGCCCCGGCCCCGGGCGCCCCCGCCCGGCACCTGCTCAACTTGAGTCTGCTCCTGGAGCTGCAGACCTGTGTCTTCGGTGCGGCCCTCCCGGCGCCCGGCTCTTTCTCCCGCGCTCGCGCCCTCCGGCCTCTCCCTCGCTGCCCCCCGCCTCCATGCCCTAATGCCCCTTGGTCATCCCCCCCCCCCCCCCCCCCCTCCTCGCCACTGTGCGACAGATGCCGGGACACGCTGCTTCGAAGCACGGCTGCGCGACGCCCAGGGCACCACCATCCTGCTGCTGGTTCGGGCCCCGGCCGACGAGCATGACGATCCCCCGGCCACTCCCAGTGGCAAGAGCCCCGCCTGGGACCCCCTCCCCCGGGGCCTCCTCCCGCCGGGGCCGGAGCACCTGGTGCACATCCTGCGCACGGCCCACCCGGGCTCGGTGCTGCTCCTCCACCGGGTGCACCTGCCCTTCTTGACCGCGACAACTTCCACCATGGTATGTGTCGCACATGCCTCCGTTCCTTTCCCCGCCACCCGCACCCCGCTCCCGGTCCTCCTCCTCGCACCCCGCCATCCGGTCCTGATCGCTGACCGCCGGCCCACCGGCTGGAAGTCCTTGTTTGCCGACCTGCATTCGGCCATGCGCGATCTGTCGCGCCTGCCCGGGCCGCTGGCCACGCGTCTCTTCCAGGCCCCCGGGGCCCTGGCCGATCTGGCGGCCCCGGGTTCCGGTCCCCGACCGGTGGCCTTTCGCATTGACGGGTGGTTGCTGGAAAATCGAAGCCGCATCCCCGGCGAGGCCGGCGCCAGCTCCGGCTGGGACGTGGCCCACCTCATCCGGCGGGTGCATCGCCTGTGCGGCCGGCCCGTGGACATGCAGCATGAAAGCGACGGCTTCTCGCAGGTCCTCTTCCGGTGCGCCGCGTGCGACGGCCTCGTGGAGGACCTCGACTACCAGTACCGCGTGCGTGCCTACCTCACGCGACATGCGCACAGCCACCGCCACTTGGACCGCCCTTTCGCCTGCCTCCCTCCCTCTCTCGCTCTTTTTCCTTCTCTCTCTCTCTCTCTCTCGCTTTTTTCCTTCTCTCTCTCGCTTTTTTCCTTCTCTCTCTCGCTCTTTTTCCTTTTCTCTCTCTCTCTCTCTCTCTCTCTCGTTTTTTTTCCTTCTCTCTTTCGCTCTTTTTCCTTCTCTCTCTCCCCCTCTCTCTCCCTCTCTCCCTCTCTCCCCCTCTCCCCCTCTCTCATTCTCTATCTCCACCTACCTCTGCCTCCCGCTCTCACACGCACACACGCACGCACGCTATCCCAAGCTTCTGGCCGTGGTGGCGGACATCGGCACCCCGGTCACCGTGCGTCCTCTGCAGGATTACCGCGATCAAGAGTACCCCCTCGGGCCCGGCGGGCAGAGGCCCGGCCGGCAGCTGGTTATGCTGAGCGACGCGGCGGCCGCCGACCTGATCGGCGTCCCGGCCCGTGTCTTCGCCTCGGAACTGGTCGCCGGGGACATGCTGCAGCTGGACCTCCTTCACCTCCGGCGCCTAGATCCCGTGGTGTTCCCGCTGCGCAAGCGCCGACGCCGCGGCCCCGCGCACTCCACCGGCCGCGCCCACGCCCACCTCCACCGCGCCCACTGGACGGCCACCGAGCAACGCCGGGCCCTGGCAGACGCCCGGAGTGGGGCGCTGTACGGCACGGTTCTGGCACCCCAGAATGCCGATCGCGTGACCGTCCCCGTGGTTGTCGCGGTCACGCGGGTCGGCTCGTGACCCGCCCGAGCGCCGGCACATAAACCTCCTGTTCCCGCTGTGTCTCCCTGCTCTTTTTTTCTTTTCTTTTTCGCCCGGGCTCCGGGCACAGGCCGGCAGGCAGGCGGGCGGGG